ATATTTTTGAATTTGCTACTTTCTGTGATTTAAAATGAAATTTAAATTTATAAATCTTATATTTATGAATCTTTATATTTATTTATATTTATCATCTCACAGGATTCGAGTAACAAGCAACAAAATATTAAATATTTACAAACCAACTTGAAACATTGAAAAACATTTACTTTTAATTTGGGAATGTAATTTATAATTAAATTAAATTAATTAAATTAAAGCCTGAAATAGTTTGATATTTAAACTTTGTTAAACTAATCGATTCTAATTAAGTTTTCAAACAAAATAAATTATTCTACATAAATATCAAAATCTAAAGAATATTTCCAAATAAAATAATCTGACTTTACTTTTTGTTGTAAAACAAATTTCTAAAAGTATAACAAGTATTACATAAGAATGTAATCTAAGAATACAAGTAATATAAAAGTATGTCTACTGTACATAATAATCAAAAGGCATACTTGATCTCTGCTTTCAAATAACTTTCATAATACTGTGTGATTACTGATAATACATAAAACGATTAACTTATTCACACAACAAACAGATTACTCAGATTACAATCACAAAGAATTACAATAAAACTTATATAATAACTCACAAAACGGTGGCTCCGACCGGGCTTTTCTTAATAATGATATATCCGTCAGGGTTTGCATAGACATCGCTCAATGAGATGGAGTCTTCATTGTCTTCCTCCGGATCTTCGTTTAAGAAAAACACTTTAAAACTTTTAAATTCAATGAAAATAGCCAAAGGGCTCAATATATTTACCAAATGTATAGCATTGAATGGAGTAAAACATGAATACAAACACAATTAACGCGAATATTATATTCATATTGATATTCATTGTTTAGTTACAAATATTTGTTTAAAACTTTTTGATCGTTGAAATTGTGTGAAAATTCTGTAAAATCACAGAATATTCTGCGAAACAAATGAATGCGAGAGACGTGAGTGAAAAGACTTAAAGAGCATGTTTCGGACCCTTTTTATATCTGTTCAAAGATAATAACTTTAGGCCACAAACGAGAACTTAATTTCATTAAATATATATATATTTATCTATATATCGCATGAAAACAAATTTCATATTATATTATAAGAAACAGGAAATTAAACAAATATATCTATAAGAGTGTGAGTGTGCGAAAACATATATCCATTTAATTAAATTTTCAATTTTATTTGAATAGTGTTTTTATTTGATCGGACATACGCTCGTGTATGCGCCCAAAAACAATAACCTAATTATGAGATGTTTTCATCAGTTTTTTTGTATGTCTTAAATGACGGCAATATATAACGAGAATTAGTGAACAGATTTAGTCATTAAGTTTGTTAATTGTCATCATAATTGTGTGTTTCATTCGCTTTCTATTCAATTATTCATTGCGTTAATTAAACACAAATTAAATATTTAGGAAATAATCAAATTATTTTGCTTTTTATGGTATAAGATAAAATGTAAATGCTTTATAAAATTCTTATTAATTTATATTACTGTGTTTTCTTAATATATTTTCTCCCTGAAATTACTTCGTATAGTATAAATAGAGTACACTAAAACATTATATAAAACCTGATTGGCCATGTTGATAAATTAAATTATGAAATTTTGAAAACCTTACTATATTTACAGTATATTATTTTTAATAGTAAGGATACTATTATTTTAATTGAATTTTTAATATTTTATTAGTTTCTTAACGTCATAATATAAGCGCCAAAAATACAAACCATGTCAGTACCTTGCACAAATTTGTATAATATTTAGTATATTATAGATTAATAAATATTCCCAAAAATAAATGGATTTGTAAATGTAAAATATTCTGTAATTAAGGAAAATAAATTAAATTCTTGTATTTAAAATATTTACTATAACCGGTAATTATTAAATATAACATTTCTTTTATAATAATATGATTAAAATAATTTAATTTGAACTTAAATTATTTACATTTAAATTTATTTGAAATACCTGTACATTGAAAAGTTTTATAATTAAAAATAAGTTTTAAAAATTAAAATTAACTGCCATTCATGCGATTTCATTTAATATATATATACTAAATGAGTGAAAATATGATAAAGCTTTGAATTTGCATAACAGCAACAGGCGTTTGTTATGATAAGGATTTGTGTATCATTGATGTCATACAATAATGAGGTGTAGGTGCTTTGCCATCATATCCTTGAATTGCATAAATGAGACGTAATGTCCAGTGAATTAATGTTTGTATTAATACTATAAATAAAGTATGCAAAATAATACTTTCAATCTATTAGCAAATTTATCAATTACCCAGTTGTAAATCCAATGAAACCTTGATTCTTATGACAATAGCATTCGTTAAGCAAAATCCAATTCATATTCAAATCTAATATAAAATTAGTATTCAATAGATTTACTATCAGATAGTGTTGACACATATGCAATTGTAAATGCATGTTAACTTATTTTTTGTTCAATTATTGATTAGTTTCGAAATATTGCTTCAAATTTCGTACTATATTTAGATATTTTGTAGATAGATAATTTTATTTTCTAGTATCCGTAATCTTTAATAAATAATACATTATGTAAATTTTTGTTTTAAAATACAGTAACAATTTTGTCGATAAATAATAAGTAGAAAACATGTTGAATAAGTTCATACTTTCAATATTAGTCTACATATTGTTTACATGTATTCGAGAATATTCTCCAATGATTTAGAGTTTAAATTTGAATTCAAGATTTTTTTTCAAATTCGTGACATTTGATTCAAATGCTAGAAAATTTATAAGGTTACATCAAATTATTATAGCGGAGGTCTTAATATATCTATAAGTATAAAATTTTGAATTCTTAAAAATACTAATACTTTGAAAAACTTTTAAGTTTTTATGTATTGATAATTTTATTGATTTAATGACATTATTAAGCTCAAAATGTGTAATCAAATCATCAAAGCGTTTGTTAGTTTTGATGAAGCTCTTCACATACGATATGATTATTGGGTAAAAGTAGAAATGCTTTTTATGTTCACATTTACTGTACGTTGAGTTACCTCTCAAATGGTATTTCCACTGAAATCTAAGAGATATTCTTAGAAACTCTTTCATAGAGAACTGCAACGGAATCTGATTTTAGTTTTGCTTTTCTATGGGACAACCAATTCCTACACAGAATAACACAAATATAATCGATTCAATGCTTTGTATTTTTGAATATGTTTTTCACGAAACTGAATTCAATAAAAAAATAATTTAACAAGAGTGCCTAATACTTAAGCAAATTGCTGTATATTTTCAATTGCTGTATAATCTAAACTAATTTAATACAAATATTTGGCTTCTCTTTGGTGCATACTTTCTCATGTGTATTATTATTACATTTATTATAAAATAACAAAATAAAGACTGTGTCTACAGTTTAATATAATAAATTATTTTCTACAACAGTTTGATGTAAGTTAAATATTTTATTAAACATTTATGTCAATCATATACTGGTAGCTCTTGTGTAAAATAATTACTACAGTAACAACTAATTAACTTACATTGTTTTTAATAAATGTTATGTTGATGATAGTTTTGAAACTAATATACTGTTTGTGTGAAATTCTATGTAAAATAGTTGTACTATTCCTATATTCTATATTAAACTATATTTTAAAATTATTTTATATCAAAATACAAATTCTTGGTATCGAGCTACAGGTAATAAATTAATCAACATTAGTGTACTTATAATAAGCATTATGGTCCAATACCAAGTATTTGTATTATGAGATAAAATAGTTTGGATCAAATACAGAAAATAAATTTGTTATCATTTGATGATTTTTTTGCCAAGCTAAAATTTTTCATATGATATACTGTAGTACAAAGTAATATAATACTTTACGCAAAAATTTTGTATTTCGCAATCTTTAGAATTAATTTAGGTTTAATAGACCTATAAAACAGTATTTTCATTAATTATATACTGTATTCAGGTAACCATTAATCAAATTGTTTCATAACTTTAACATTATATAAATAAGTTCTCAAATTTATTATTTATCATATTAATTAGTCAAATATTCAATATTATCAAGTTTACTATAGAGATTATGTAATACTGTATTAATTTTATGTTTACTGAAATAAAATAATATTTTTTATAAATATAGCATTTGAATGAATTTTAATTAAACCATTTGTAAATTAATTATACTTTTAGTTTCGGAATATTTTGGTCTTTATTTTAAAATATAACTTTAAATTAATTTTGTCAACAATTAATGTATATTATGACTAAAACATAGAGCAAATGAAGTCTACGTGCATATCAAGTCTTATCGGTATTCAGACATAATTATTTGCATTATATTAATTGACATATTTTAAAACTCATGTATAAGTTATATAATAAATCACCTGTTATATAAAATTCTGTTCAAAATTTAATTGTGTTTATGTATATATTTTAGATATGTCCGATTATACTTTTTAATGATATTATATGGTTTTAAGTGTATATACCTGAACATATAAAATGTATAATTATTAAACAAAAATTTAATTAATAAGTGGCTCAGTTTTGCTTAAATAACTTAATTTGAAACAAGTTTAATGCATAAATCGATAAAACAGTTGATATTATTGTAGCACTCATTCACTGCATAAATAGATATTTGATTTTATTTATACATAATTAAACAGATTTTGATTTCGACATAAACTACATGTTATCGTTAACTACATTTGTAACATACAGTACACTGTTGTTGTTATTTTATTTTATAATTAAAATTGTGTTTAAAATTCAAATTATGGATATTTAAAAGAATTAGATCTCAAAACTTATATTAATATATAATATATATTATATAATAATTCATTATTTTATTATACAAATAATTCTTATGACACGTTAATAAAAATAATATTCATTTTGGTTTGGATTTAAAAATATTCACAAATTAATTCACTTAAATAAGTGGCAAAATTAGTAGTTATTACCGATATAAAAATAATATCAAATCTCATAAATAAATTAAAATCAATAAAATTATTAAAACATAATAAATATTAAAAACAAAAACAAAAACTTTATATTAAATAATAATTTCATTGCAAATAATGCTATACTGTGTTAGGAATGCATTGAATGAAAATGGTTTCAGATATGACTCGAGTGGACATAAAATATCTCAAAAATTTTGCGTAAACTGTTTTGAAGGAAAATATTTTCACAAACACTTTGACAATCATTTTGGGCGAAGAGTTTGCGAGAGTGTCTGTTGGGACTGGAGGTTAGACCAGCAGTTCTGACACACTCTCACGGGTTTGAAGATCTTTAAGCGTATTATTTCCGATTCAAACTTTGAACACCTGTTCCGCGAAAGCAAACAATTAGTTTGAGTCATAAAACTAATCACAAAAATCATATCAATAATCAAATGAACGAATGGATCAATACTTGGAACAGAAGACGTGTCCGCAATTCCTGCAGTGATGTCTTCGCTCGGAAAACGTGAATTTTGTGCCACAATTAGTGCAGCTCTCGACCACCTCGTCCTTAACCCAGTGGTCGGACACACCGCGGCCTTCGCTGACAGACCACGAGAATAGCCGACCCCTGGCGTCGCCCACAAACACCGTTCGGTTGTCTTTAGAGATGGCCAGCGCTGTGATGGCCGCCGGTTCCGTGTTGTCGTTGCGCTCAAACGCCGTATGCATTGTCAGCTTCGAGCGGAACACCAGTCGGGGAATCCATTTGTGGCCCGCTTTGAGGACAGCCGTCGATTGCAATCGGTTTCGATTGCATTCGCTTTCGTTGACTATAATAAACGAGTCGAAGAGCGATGTGTCCGACTTCGAGGTCCGGATTTTGGGCACCTCTAGGATGGAGGCGGCGGTCGCAATGGTCGGCGTCTTTGGCATCGGTTTGTTCTGTTTGTGTTGAGTCGGTGGCGAGGCTTTGATCGTCGGAGTGATAAAAATGGCCGCAGATTTGGAATGGGGTAACGAGAGGGCCGGTACCTCATCCGTCGCCTCAATATGCAAGAGATCCCAATCGTTGTCCTTGTCTTCAGGAGAGGAGGCGTTGCCTTCAGTGGACTCGTCGTCGTCTCCTTTATTACTCTCGGCTGTGGCCGACGCTATGGAAAGGCGTCGAACGATCTCATCCTTAGACACGGGAATCGTGAGCGAAGAGTCGTTTTTGCAGACTTCGGTCGGCGTCGAGGATACGCTCGTATTGGACGACCGCTCGGACTTGTCCTCGTCGTCGACGGGCACCTGTATGTAGTCTATTGACCACATCTTCACCACACCATCCGAAGAACCAGTCATTATAACGTTCGCTGAATCCCATTCATTATACGTTGAAAACGCCACACAAAGCACTTGAGTGGTGGACATGGATTGCGCGGCCGCTGAGATGTTCAGTGTATTGACGCTCGCAATTAGGTCTCCATTTATGGTCCACAGGTATAGCCAATTGGACGCACAGGTGGCTATATCTCCAGACAAGTCATTGATGGCAATGGAAGCGATGGGCGCGTTATGTATCAGATTATGTCCACCGCCTCAACACATGAAACAATAAATACAATTAGTATTCAAATGATAATTACTTTAAGATCTCTTAAGACTCACCCAATTGTCGCACAAAAATCAAACGATTCAAATCCCATATAATGCATGTCTTGTCTCGGGAACCGCTGACAATGATCCCATAGGCGGCCGATGAGCTCAAACACGTGATGGGCTCTGTGTGGCCGTACAGGTTCTGAATGAGTGACATGTTTTGCATTTTGCCTTTTATTCTCCACACGGATATCACTGAATTGGTTCCGGCGGTTATGATAATCCTCGGGTTGGGAACAGTGGCGCACAGAATCTCGCCATTCGGTGGCAAGAGATTGCTCTCCCATATGAACAGCGCTCTGTCCGACTCGTAGGGACCGATTCGGATGCTGTGATCGGCGAAACCCCAGGCGATGTACCGATTGAATTGCGGAGGAATGAGGACTTTGTTCTGTTCGACGGCTAACAACGCCTTCTCCTGTTGTATGATTTGTCCGACGGCTCCGCGAAGCTCTTTGATTGGGTGCAGCGATGGCCGCAGATTATCCAAGTGATGGATAAACACTTTGTCCGGAGCCGAGCCGCTCATGAGCACTGAGTTGAGGCCAACGGATGGCAGTATTGGCGTCAACGGGACGGCCGTCATCTGACTGAAAACTTTCTTGACGGGATGCGGCTTTTTGAACAGTTGTTTCGGGATTTGTCCGAAATTGTTGATGAATCCAATGGTGGCGTTCTTCTTGAGCGGGTCATCGATGGTGTAAATGTCGACATTTCCCTCATAGAAGAGGTGGTGAAACACGTTAACCGCTTCGACGGCAGCCGGACCTGATGGCCAGACAATGATAGTTAGTATGAGTGGACTTCAAGTGGACAGGGAGTGTCAATGAATACAAACCGTGTTGTTTATAACCAAATATGAGATCAATCCACTCGTGCAGGTGTGCGGACACGTAATCGCATTCAAGGGCCGCTCTATGGACTCGAATGAATTCACGAGGGTCATCTGTAATACACAATACAAACATTGTGTAACTATAAAGTAATTTCCAAATGCTTTGTATGAGTCGTATCGCGAGTAACACCCGTTTCTCAGAGTGATACCCCTCGTCAACGCAAACATTAATTTTACCCGTAATTCACAACTCAATCAAATTTTCACTTCAATTGAGTTTATTATAAATAGAGTATGTTTTGGGATATAAATACACCGATTAAATCTTAACACTAGCACTAAGAGCACTAAAGTGATGCCTACCCTTAGCCCAGGGCGGGAGTACAACGTCGTCGAGTTGGACACCACTTTGTTTGACTCCCAAATCAAATCGATTGGAATTGAGTAGGAATTCTGGCAAATAGAAGAACTCGGGAATCAGTTCCTTGAGGTCCGCCATATTGTGTTTGGAGGCTGAGGTCCAGGCGTCGCCGATCGAGTGGAACATCCTATCGGCCAAATCAAAGTGTCCGCCCTGAAGGCTCAGGAAGTGCTGCGCAAACGGCTCCATACGCACCAGATATGAGGCCACAATCATGGCACTGATACCACGAATATGGCATTTTAGTGATGGATACAAACAAATACTGTTTTCATATAATCAATACCTGGAGTAGAAGGTGCCGTAATGGTAGGGCCCTTGGATTAGGTCATCAGCCTTTACATGAGGAAAATAAGACAATCATAACATTGTGGTATCACTCGATAATCTGGATAATAAGTACCCCTTTAATGTCGGAGTCGGCGTCCCATTCATTAAACCGTTTCCTAAACTGCTCCAAACGGTCGGTCGTTTGTGCGCCCATTGGTCGCGAGAGATCTCTGAATGAGTTTGGGTCCGAGAAATCCAACTCAGAGCTCGAGTAGTCGGCAATAATCCAGGGAAACACCGGGTATTGCATCAAATCATTGTACGAACGGCCGGCCAATGTATTCAAATTCATTAAATACTGAAAGTTTGAAATCTCTCCTCTCTATAAACGCCGAGAAAATAATTAAACAAAACAAATATATTCAATAAACTAAGCAATACTTACGACCCATCGCTGAGTGACAGACGTTTCGCCGATAAGATTACTCAAAATACCGGCCGTTTCCACGTTTGCGCTCCGTTTCTGACCCATGAGGGAGTCCTGGGCGTTGTCCGTGACATACGTGGCCACAGACATGAACCTCGCGTACACTTTGTTGCGAATCTTTCGCGGAAATACGATCAATGAGTTGCGGCCGTCCAATGAGAACACTTCCAACGCAATCGGTTGCAACAGATATCGCCGTTTATGGACTTCTTTGATGTCTTCGAACGCGAATTTACTGCAAGTCTTCTTCGTTGTCCTCTTAGTTCCGCCGGAAATGCTATTACGCGGCGACGAGTTCGGGACAATGGGGTCGTGCATACTGTTCAACGCAATGGGTATTAATTATCAACTCTTTTCAGACACTAATCAAAACAAATGGATTACTTGACGGGCAATGAGTCGATGTCGCGAATCTCTCGGGTCTTGAGTAAAGTGAAGCCATCGATGAGATAGAAGTGCTCTTTTCCGAAGAGCAGTAAGCCCTCGAAGGTGTCTAAGCCTTGAATGCGCGCCACTCTAAACATATGAGAGATGCGTTCGCCCTCTTCAAGGAGTCTGAGGACTGTCTGCATCTCCACCCCTTCGAAGCGGTCCGAAGCACTCGAGTCAGGTCTGGCCATCTCGGAGCTGATGTCCACAAAGCCCGATGTGTCCGCATCCCTGTCTTGGGACTCGTGGTTTAGATCCGACACGTCTTGGTCTTCGATATCAGACGAAGATTTTGACGGCAAAAGAGATGAGGTTTTGATGCCCTGGAAAGACGTGTCACCGCTGGTCGGCAGCGGTGACACTGATATCACTTCGTCGTAGATCTCCAACCGGTCGATGAGACTGTTATTCTCGGCCCGAAAGCGTTTGTAGTACTCCTTGGAGTCGAAACTAATGGGAAGTTTAAACTTCAGCGCTTTGCTGTTTTTTCAGACACTAATCAAAACAAATGGATTACTTGACGGGCAATGAGTCGATGTCGCGAATCTCTCGGGTCTTGAGTAAAGTGAAGCCATCGATGAGATAGAAGTGCTCTTTTCCGAAGAGCAGTAACCCCTCGAAGGTGTCTAAGCCTTGAATGCGCGCCACTCTAAACATATGAGAGATGCGTTCGCCCTCTTCGAGGAGTCTGAGGACTGTCTGCATCTCCACCCCTTCGAAGCGGTCCGAAGCACTCGAGTCAGGTCTGGCCATCTCGGAGCTGATGTCCACAAAGCCCGATGTGTCCGCATCCCTGTCCTGCGACTCGTGGTTTAGATCCGACACGTCTTGGTCATCGATATCAGACGAAGATTTTGACGGCAAAAGAGATGAGGTTTTGATGCCCTGGAAAGACGTGTCACCGCTGGTCGGCAGTGGAGACACTGATATCACTTCGTCGTAGATCTCCAACCGGTCGATGAGACTGTTATTCTCGGCCCGAAAGCGTTTGTAGTACTCCTTGGAGTCGAAACTAATGGGAAGTTTAAACTTCAGCGCTTTGCTGTTGACACTGATATCACTTCGTCGTAGATCTCCAACCGGTCGATGAGACTGTTATTCTCGGCCCGAAAGCGTTTGTAGTACTCCTTGGAGTCGAAACTAATGGGAAGTTTAAACTTCAGCGCTTTGCTGTCCATGCCTTCGAACTCAGGCTTATATGGATAGTGAGTGTAGAAGAGGTCGTTTCGGATCAGTTTCTTTCGCATCCGATGCGGCCCTTCAGTCATATCTAACTTCCATTTGTCCAAACATTTGGACCCGTAGTCGGGCCCCCAAATGGCGCGCTCTCTCACCAACAACTCGTATTCAGAGGCAATCCAATCGTCGTAAACGTATTTCATGAGATGAAAGTCGGACTGAATTTTCTGCTTTAATTGCAATTCAATGAAGTCGTTGATAATCGACAGATGAATGGCCGTCCACTGCATCACTTCGCTTCTAGTCATCAAAAGCCACGGCTGAGCGGTTCCCGTGTTGAGTGAGTCCGAGAACGAGTTACGGAACGCCTCCTTACGGGCGGCGGCGCCCACACTGACCGCTGTGTTCACGACTCCGCTGACGACGCCAGTGGTTCCGCCGACGAGTTTCGAGACGAGACCGCCGGCAGACTTGGAGACCAGAGAATTGAATTTATTAATATTCGCCAACTTTTCCGATATGATTGCCGTCGGACTCGACACGGAGGGCGAGTCGAGCGACGAGTTTCCGGCCGCCCGTCGCCTCTGCCTCTGCTGTTCGTATTCAATGTAATTAACCCAAACTCGAAGCGTCGGGTCGTAAAGGGTTTCCCTGAGCGACGAGATCTCCGGCGTGATTGACGTTAACCCAAACGCCGGCGTATTTGGCGCTAAATTTATTTTGAGGGTCTCCTCCAGGAGCTGTCGTTTAGATAAATATATTTCGTCCCATATTTTTCTGGCCACCGACGCGATGAGGAGCGCGCCCTCGTCCGCGTCGGGCACCGGCCCCTCGTCGGGCAGGCCGGGGAGCAGCCCGTGCACGGTTCACCACGCGCTAAACAACCAGCTATCCGACTAGAAGCGGAGCAGCTACTCAACGTCGTTTGTTATGCACTCTGTGTGCTTCTTGAGCCTCAGGCATAACGTCGACGAGATTAGGATGAGTTGACGGTTGGTGTGAATGCGTTGCAGCACTTCCAGCATCGATATGCGATCCGATATAGACTCCAACGGACGGGACAGAAGGTAAAGGACCGTTCGGTTCAGAGACTTATACAACAGATTGAGTTCCGAGAGGGCAGAGGACGCCGCCTTCGACGACGATTTGGTGGTTTGCGGCGACGGCGAAGAGCTCACGTGAATACGGGTCATGAGTTTGAGTTCGCAGTCGAGTATCTCTTTGCGGTCGCGGAGGTAGCAGTCCTGCCATAGTTTGTCCACAACTATGGCGATGAAGACCACGATGTTAGAGGAGGCCATCTGTTGCTGTTGCGGCATATAGTTGGACGAGTCGTACTGTTGGCACATGAACTCCGTCAATGAGGTCATGTGCTCCAGAAGGGAGGCGATCAGCTCCGTCTGGGCTAACTTGCAGGTGGAGAAGCCCTCCAAGAACTGCTCGAATATAGGTATGGGACGAATGGCGCTGTTTGATTGGCTGCTGATTAGGTTTATGATAATCAGACGAATGAAGTCCATGATGTGCTTCTTCGCCGAATGAGTGGTCAAAACGGACTCTTTCGGGTCCGACGACTCTTTGGTCACGCGTTGGTCGCACTCGTCGGCGATCACTGTCTGACACAACGCTGATATGAATTCCGCGTTCGACTGACAAAATGTCTGAAAGTCTTTCCGGTTGTGATACAAATACATCACGAATTGTATGAGAATTGTCGGGAAGTCCGTGAAGTTGTTGGCGTCGTCTGAGTCCCAAATCAATGTGTGAATCATCGACAGTATGGTTATCGACAAGTCTTTACAGCAAAGACCTCCCGAATGAACGTATCGTTTGTTGGATTCGCCGAACAGACAGTTCCAGAGGTTATCCAAACTCAGGTTATCGAAGGTCTCGATAGACTCCAAGACCATAGGCGATAGGTTCTGGTAGTGGCCGATGAGGGCCTGGAATAAGACTAGATATACTTTGGGCTGCGGCACGTGCGCCGACATCAACCAATTCAGATACAAGAAGCCCGGGATTGAGAGCAAATCGTTTCTAATCATTTTCATGCCAGTCGTGCGACTCGTGAGCACCGTCTGCATGGAACTGGCGTTATAGCTCGGGTTGACGTTAAAGCCCAACAGCTGTACGCCGAACCGACTCTCAAGCACCGCCTCCGTGTCCTTAAGCCACCCGCCATTAGACGCGCCCTCTTTGAACTTCGCGTACAGCGTCTGATTGGAGATAATCACCATTAAGTTGACTAATCCGATGGTCACCGTCTCCTTGTGGAGTGGACTTTGAAGGAACAGCAGAAACCAATCGAAACCCAGTATTCGCGACAACTCTTCCTGAATGGCGTGATTTATGGCCAACTGTTGACTCCGAGTCATGAGTTGCAGACATATCTTGAGTAAAGAGTTTCGCAATTCTATAATGTCTTCGCATTTCTCCTCGTTATTGGCCGGAAGTAGTGATGCTATGAATTGCCCGAAGTATAGGAGATCCGAGTGTCTGGGCGTTTGGTTTAGGAGTCGATAACACAGTGAGTAAATGAGTGATAAAATCTTGGGATCAGTGATACGTATCTCTCGCGTCAAATTCAACAGTTTCGGCAATAAAGACATGTCTCTCAAGACTTTCAGATTAAACGATTTGCTTTCACTCGAGTGACTCGAGTCGAGCAACAATTCGTTCAAATGGTCTAAAAGTGATTTCAATAACTCGTTTTGCGCCCAAAGGTCCAACTGGTCGGCCAATAGGTCTTTGAATGCGCCGATTCGCTGGATTTCCATCGCGTTCTCATGGGATCTCTTGATCTCAAGAGTTCCGATCAAATTGAAAGACAGATGCAATACGTGTGAGTTGAGGAACTGGCGTTTGCGGCGCAAAAGCATGGCTAGGGTTTGGTATCCGTTCACTCTCTCCATCTCCAACTGGAGCTCACGGTTCGTGCGGATCACACACACCAGCGCTTTGACGCTCGCGTACAGCGACTCCACGTCCTGGGAGTTGGCGATCAGACCCAACAGAAGGGTCGCGCCCCCGATGTCGCTACAGGTGACGGCCACTGGCTTTGGCACAAAACAACGGGCGCCTATATTGCCGATTAATATGCCGCCCAACGAACGACTGGGTCCGCACAGGTGTCCCGCGGAGTTGTGCAACACGTAAATGGGAGTCGCGTTCTCGTGAGTGGATATCCCCAAGAGTTTGGATATTTGTCGGCAATCGAAACGCGAGTAAACTCTTCGCATTTTGGCTAAAGTCATGGCAGAGGTGGCCCTCGAGTTCAGTCCGAATATGACCCTATCCTCGGAGATCTGTTGCTGAATCTGTTGTATCGCTTGGCTATGAGTGACGCCCTGAAAGCTGCCGATATAGTTGGGTCCCAACGAGTGTATGTACGCCACGAACATGGAGTTGAGGGGCTCTTCGAGCAGATGACACGGTCCCTGTTTCCACACCAGACGCGACTGTTTGCGCCATTGAGGAGGTGTTCCGATAAAGCCGTTCACATACAGAGGACTAGCGTTGGAAATGCCAGAAATCCCGCCGACAACTGACGAAATGTAATGCAATTTCTGACTAGCGATCAGTTGGCCGTCGATATAGACGCTGACCGTTGAGTTCTTAAGCAAAGCTCGATTAAGAATGATAGCGATGTGATGCCACTGACCCTCTTGGATGAGTTCTGGGGACCAAACCCTCAAGTGATGGTCGGCATCGAATTGGTGCGGAAATCCAGAGGAACCCACTTCTGTCTCACCGAAGATTGCAATCTCTTGAGTGGAGATGAGAAGCGCTTTATCTCTGGCGGCGATCTGTAACTGAAAGCACGCGTACTCCTGACCGGAATGGGAGGCTCTGTATAGCGTAAGTAGCCGTACGTTATGCGACTCATCGCTCGACGAGTTGGAGAACTTCTCGACGCAAACCCAAGTGGTGTAGGAGAAGCCCGATTGCGACGGAAAGGCTCGTTCACCCGTTCCTATGCCTCCGTTCACACTGACCGGCACATCAGAGTTGCCTACAATGGCACCCGTCAGCAGATTAGACGCGCCGGTAGTACTGCCACTCAAACTGATGGGCGCAATGGATGGCAGAAACAGTGAGGAGAAGCCCTCCTGATTCATATCAAACTCGACGAATGGCGGCTGAAGTAAGTGATGACTCGTACCGTCTTTAGGTGTAGTCATGCTTACAATCGTCTTAATTCGTGTCAAAGCAATTGGTCCGCCGTTTCGTTGATTCTTCGGCTTTCCATTATTGAGTTCATCGAAAGCGACACAATTGAGGGGTTGACCCAATCGTAGGAATGATCTGTTCATGGATTCAAAACACTGTTAAAACCCATAAAAACCAATTGAATGACTACTCTATACCTGAGTTCTTTTGGTTGGATGTGTTGTGCGGAAAGCCTTTCGAGTATATATTGAGCGGATGTGTGCAGTGAATGCGTTTCGTTGAGCAGCGCCTCGTTATACCTGTCCATCAATATCTCGGTAACCAAATTGATTTCACACATCACTTGTTGGTTGCGCTCAGACTTCAGTAGTTTTCGCAACACTTCCATCAAATAAATGCGCAAATTTTGGTCCGGAATCGATGGAATCAATTGAAACATCGATATTAAGACAGACGAGTGAACAATGAGTGGCGGATCGGCCGATGACGGCGACAGCATTAGGTGTGGCGGCCGTTTCGGGCCCAACCCCGACGTTGACTGAGTATTAGACACAACCTTCTGAGCGACGGCTTGTGTTGTCGAGCATTTGTCCGACACGTCGAGTGTCATGTCGTACAGTAATCTCATGAGAAGACACGCCGACTCCGAGCGAGACATTTGCTTCTTTGGCGGCAAGTCATTGATGGAACAGTTGAACAACTGCTCAAAATCGGTCCCTTCGGCCACTGAATGATCCGTTACTTCATTTTCATCGCAAAAGCATCCGAGAAGTCGTATGGAGTCCGTGAGACTCGACGCGCATATCTCTTGCGCGAAGAACCGGGCGTTTGCGGGCTCGTAGCGCATGGCTGTGGTCAGGGCTGCGAACACACACCTGATTCAAGAGTAATACCAGGGTATTAACGAATGTTCAAATTGGCAAACATTAAGCACACAAACCGTAAGAGATTCCAACTCTTCTTGGGTTCGATACCATTCCACGTCTTGCCGTCCAGACAGCCCTCCATATGCACCAAAACGGACATCACGTACACAAATCCGCCCACTTTTCTGAATATAGCTCTCACGCGATGGTTCTCTCGCATCACAACCATTCGATACCATTCCACGTCTTGCCGTCCAGACAGCCCTCCATATGCACCAAAACGGACATCACGTACACAAATCCGCCCACTTTTCTGAATATAGCTCTCACGCGATGGTTCTCTCGCATCACAACCAGCAGCGACTTCAGTATCGATGACTTCAGGTTCAGATTGGTGGTGATGTCTGACTCCCTGTGCATCAGCGCCAACAGGTTCGCTAAGTGTTCTTCGCCGCTATTCGATAGTATCAACTGTTGTATGATATGAAAGGCCTTTTTGCGCAACTGTTTGGAACAGTTATTGTTGGACAGGAATGCAAATGTATGTTTGGCGGCACCGCATTCATTGTAGAGCTGACAGTTGCTGTGGTTGGGACCCGACAGCATCTGCAGCACATTGTCGGCGATCAGCTCCAGGAGCGGCTCGTTCTCCGAGTCGTCCGATTGCGAGTAGTATATGAGTAGCGACGCGATTATGTCGAGTAAACCCACTTCGCGGTAGACGTCGAGGAATATGGCATTGAATTTCAGAATTGACAGCAAAGACTTCAGACATATTGTACTGCTTTCGAGCGTTCGATACCATTCCACGTCTTGCCGTCCAGACAGCCCTCCATATGCACCAAAACGGACATCACGTACACAAATCCGCCCACTTTTCTGAATATAGCTCTCACGCGATGGTTCTCTCGCATCACAACCAACAGCGACTTCAGTATCGATGACTTCAGGTTCAGATTGGTGGTGATGTCCGACTCCCTGTGCATCAGCGCCAACAGGTTCGCCAAGTGTTCTTCGCCGCTATTCGATAGTATCAACTGTTGTATGATATGAAAGGCCTTTTTGCGCAACTGTTTGGAACAGTTATTGTTGGACAGGAATGCAAAGGTATGTTTGGCGGCACCGCATTCATTGTAGAGCTGACAGTTGCTGTGGTTGGGACCCGACAGCATCTGCAGTACATTGTCGGCTATCAGCTCCAGGAGCGGCTCGTTCTCCGAGTCGTCCGATTGTCTCATCATATACTCATCGCTGCGCTAATACAGCTCATTTGGGTGAAGCGCCATCTGCAGCTCCTTATACCGTAACTTAAAGTCTTAACTGTCGTTTCTGAAGTCTGTATAACATGACGAAAGCTCGCAACTGTAAGTAATAGACATAAGAATTAATTTCAAAGTAAATACAGTTAAAAAAAAGCACCGACTGTTTGGTTTTGATGATAATGGAGACACTGATCAACTCCTTGCAGGGCACGTATCGCAGTTCATACACAACAAACTCTAATAGAGTGAAGAATTTCTCCTAAAAAATCATTTCAAAGTCTGTTAATAAATTATTTTATGTGCAAATTAGTGTTAAACGTGTCTATACCTGAATTTCCAACGATTTCAACTGAAGTTTGTCCGCAAACTGACTCAAAGTGTTCTGAGAGTCGAGTATAAAATAGTTGGCCTTATCTTCCCGATAGAGTACAAGCATTGCCTCCAAAATCAATGTCTGAAGAGTGGTTGTCTTGGAACGGGTCCACACGGTTTGGAAGACATTAAAAGCGTTCAAATTCTTGATGGCATTCTTGGTGGCGGGTCTGGGCATCGAGAAGTCATCCATTATGAACAAGTGGTTCACCGACAGTGGCCGTGGCTTCAGTTCACGCGATCCCACTTTCGTGAACTGCGTGACCAACGAGACGAGTCGTTTCAATGACTCCAGTTCTTCGGGTATTTGTTCCAATTTGAGACAAAAGTCGATCAAAAAGTTATACCCAAACCCACTCTTAAAGTCGTCGAGGAATATGTTAACCGCCGACGAGTTGTTACCACTGGAGGACAGTTCGCACAGAAAGCTCACTAAAGTGCTCGACATCTCCACTGCAAAAACACCGCAGATATAGAGAGAGACAATAAATAAGTAGTTTATATAAAGACTAAATAAATTTAGTCTTAGTTTAGACATTATTTTAATAATCAAATCAAATAACAATTACCAATATCTGTGGTCCCAGTTGTGCCCAACTCTAGCATTCGCTGCATATTCTCCACAAATATGTTAAGACATCCCTTTTCGTGCAAATACTCGCCGTTTATGTTATTAGTCTTCGCCATCGTTAGGATCACATCGGAGGCCGTCTTTCGCCACAACGAGTTGTGTTTCGGACACCAGGAGGTGATGGCGTTGAACAGGAGCGCCAAATCGTCTTTGCGGGTCAACTCCATGAGCGCCGAATGCGATGAACACAAGCGGATCAACAACTGGGAGAACACCTTCTGGAGGAGCAGTCGCCGGTCCATCGGTTGGAGCTCTTCGTGCGCCTGACTGTCGCCGGGAGTCGTGCTCTTCGTCCCATTAATTGGCGGCAAATCGAAGATGTCTATGTTTGTGAACTGCTCGCAACTCCAGTTGCTCAAACACCAGTAATATCACTACTCACCGCGCCTCAACCTCGTCTGCTCGTCTAAGTCACAGCTGTCGTCTCAGGTCGGGAAGAACAGAACAGGGGACTCCAAGACGGGCGTCATCTCCAGAAACTCGACGATCGCTTGCGAGGCGTTTTCGGTGGTCTTACTGCTGGCGCGGCGCCTGATCTCCGTCACCATCAGCCGCGACACCATTTGCGTGAATGCCGTCACGTCGCAGAACTTGTCGAAGACGTCGACGTGAGGGCCGCCCGAAGACTGCGCGCACATCCCAGTGAACACCTGTCAAAGACATCACCGCATTTGGTCATCAGATACACGGATGGCATGCATTTCATGCGTCAATACTCGACATACTTTGCAAAAAAGTGGTAAAATATTGTATATCTTCTGTTCGTAGGACTCGTTGGTCTGCTGTGAGGACCCAATCGGCGGTGCATTGGATTTGATGTCAACGAAGAGTTTGTTTAAATGAGACAATGATAGCGATGTCTCCGACGACGACAACTCCCTGTCGTCTCTGGTCTGCTGAGACACCAGTCGTCTCATGATATTCATGGCTATTATGCTTTCGGTCCACCTCTACGCCAGTATCACGAGTCGCCTCAAGACATCACCGCATTTGATCCCAAACACACATCTCTATACCATTTGTTTGTAAACACTCTTTGATTACATAATGTCATCGCTTTTGACACTTCGCTATACAATCACATCAATTACGACACCAAAGACTGTGGCATATATTGCAGAGACCACTGAATCGCCTGTCGGTGACAACTGATCCCATTTTGTGATCATTTTGTCCATTAATTCATAAGTGGATCTAATTTTAGGCCCAAATCACAGCACATATTGAATTAAATTGATTTCATAGCAAAACACAGTAATTGCAAACATTTGGTCCCTTTTGTGGACATAATTACTGTGAGCCTTATGTCTGCAAAACGTGTGAATCAGTTGAGTGTAAAAGTGTTGACAAATTGAGTGCCCATTGAATCCGTCGGACAGTTGTCTCAGTGTCTCATTCCTAGGCAAGTCGGCAACTGTGGTTTGGGTGCCTACCCAGCGACCCTAGCGCTCGCGGCGTCAGCCGCCTCATCCAGAGCCTCAGGCGCTTCTTCAGCACGCTCGCCAAGCAGCGGCTTCTCCCTCTGCGGCAGTCGTCGCGACCGATCCCGAGAGCGGTCCCGAAGTCCGCAGAGAGACCGCCGAAGAGGTGGCGGCGACCGGAAGGCGCGCGACGATCGCCGCAAAGTGGAGGACATAATCGGCGGTGAAGTTAATTACGAGACCTTCGATAAGGACGAACAGCAGAGGAAGTTAGAGGTACTCATGCAGGAGAGGAGGGAAAGGGTCGAGAAGTGGCGACAGAAGCAGAAGTCCAACGGCACCGAAGCCGACAATCCGGAGGTGAAGAGCGAGGAGAGCGCCGCCGAAGAGGTCAAGAAGACCTGGACTCTGGAGGACGAGAATGAGGACGAAGAGGAGGACAACGAGGCGGTGGAGCCCATGGACGACGACTTAGAGGACGAGCACACGATTAAACCGCCGCCGAAGAGAGTGGAGGACACGGAGGAAGAGATCAGTAAACTAGAGGTGAAGATCGAGAAACCAATTAAAGTAGAGGTGAAACCCACTCCGCCTGAGCCCACGCCCGACGAAGACATCGACCCATTGGACGCATATATGCAGGGAATACAGGAGGAGGTGAAGAAAATGAGATCCAAAACCGTGAAGTCCAACGAAAAGGACAATAAAGTGACTTTAGTTGTGGGGATCGCCAAGAAGGCGGTCCAACAAAACAAAGGCGAACTCATTGAGCAAAATATGGACGCTTTGGAGTACTCTTCGGAGGACGAGGGGACCAAAGACGACGATCTGTCGAATGTTATGGACTCTCTTCAGAATAAGCCGAAGCAGAAGAAGTTGATGACTATCTCGAAGGATGACATCACATACCAGTCGTTCAGAAAGAACTTCTATATAGAAGTCCCGGAGTTGACTAAAATGTCTGCCGAAGAGGTGGAGGCGTTTAGGGCCGAAATGGAGGGCATTAAGGCTAAGGGCAAGGGGTGTCCCAAACCCATCAAGACATGGGCTCAGTGTGGGGTCAGTAAGAAGGTGTTGGATGTGCTCAAGAGAAACAATTACGAAAAGCCGACTCCAATCCAATGTCAAGCCATTCCTGCCATTATGTCCGGTCGTGATCTGATAGGAATCGCCAAAACAGGTTCCGGCAAAACGTTAGCCTTTTTGTTGCCAATGTTTCGCCATATCATGGATCAGCCGCCGCTCGAGTCGGGCGACGGACCCATTGCTGTCATAATGACTCCGACCCGAGAGCTCGCGACACAGATTTGGTCCGAATGTAAGCGCTTCTCAAAGGCACTGAACTTACGAGTGGTTGCCGTTTACGGCGGAACTCCTATTTCCGTCGTTTATCCTCTTGATTTTGGCCCGCGACTCTAGCACCACACGTGAGGCCCCGCCTACTAGCTGTACAACCGGCGGTTGAGCCCAGCGCAGTGCTTGAATTCCGCGACATGCATGACGCACAACCTCGAGGCGGACCGCATGTTTGACATGGGCTTTGAGCCGCAAGTCATGCGGATTAATGACGGCATTCGTCCCGACCGGCAGACTGTCATGTTTTCGGCGACATTCCCGCGCATTATGGAGGGGTTGGCGCGAAGAATATTAGACAAACCCATTGAAGTACAGGTCGGCGGCCGGTCTATGGTCTGCAAAGAAGTCAAACAGAATGTGATTATCACTGACGAAGACGACAAGTTCTTGAAGTTGTTGGAGATTTTAGGTCACTTCGCCTCAGAGGGAAGTGCTATAGTATTTGTGGACAAACAGGAAAACGCGGACATGTTGTTGAAAGAGTTAATGCACGCCTCCTACACATGTCTGGCACTGCACGGAGGGATAGACCAGAACGACAGGGACTCAACCATCGCTGACTTCAAGAATGGAAAAGTCAATGTATTGGTGGCCACGTCTGTAGCGGCCAGAGGTCTCGATGTGAAGCACTGCATAGTTGTCATCAATTATGACTGTCCTAACCATTACGAAGACTTAGCAAATAGGAGAACTAAAACCGGGCGCTGAGATCGTGGTGTGCACTCCGGGGCGGATGATCGACATGTTGGCCGCCAACTCGGGTCGCGTCACGAACTTAAGGCGCTGTACGTACTGCGTGTTGGATGAGGCGGACCGCATGTTTGACATGGGCTTTGAGCCGCAAGTCATGCGGATTATAGACGGCATTCGTCCCGACCGGCAGACTGTCATGTTTTCGGCGACATTCCCGCGCATTATGGAGGCGTTGGCGCGAAGAATATTAGACAAACCCATTGAAGTACAGGTCGGCGGCCGGTCTATGGTCTGCAAAGAAGTCAAACAGAATGTGATTATCACCGACGAAGACGACAAGTTCTTGAAGTTGTTGGAGATTTTGGGTCACTTCGCCTCAGAGGGAAGTGCTATAGTATTTGTGGACAAACAGGAGAACGCGGACATGTTGTTGAAGGAGTTAATGCACGCCTCCTACACATGTCTGGCACTGCACGGAGGGATAGACCAGAACGACAGGGACTCGACCATCGCTGACTTCAAGAATGGAAAAGTCAATGTATTGGTGGCCACGTCTGTAGCGGCCAGAGGTCTCGATGTGAAGCACTGCATAGTTGTCATCAATTATGACTGTCCTAACCATTACGAAGACTTACCATCGCTGACTTCAAGAATGGAAAAGTCAATGTATTGGTGGCCACGTCTGTAGCGGCCAGAGGTCTCGATGTGAAGCACTGCATAGTTGTCATCAATTATGACTGTCCTAACCATTACGAAGACTACGTCCACCGATGCGGTCGCACGGGTAGGGCCGGCAACGAAGGGCACGCCTACACTCTAATAACTCCCGAACAGGGAAAGTACGCCACGGATATCATCAAAGCGTTTCAGTCGAGCAATACCGACGTTCCGGCGGAACTCCAGAGCCTATGGGAGGGCTATAAACTGGAACAGGAGATGATGGGCAAGAAAGTGAAGTCCTCGTCGGGCTTCAGTGGCAAGGGATTCAAGTTCGATGAGGCGGAGGCCCAGTTCGCCAACGAGAAGAAGAAGTTCCAAAAGGCGGCGCTCGGACTCCAGGACTCGGACGATGAGGACGCGGAGGACGACATCGATCAGGAGATCGAGAACATGTTGGCGCCCAAGAAGTCGACCAAATCGGTGCCCATTGTGTCGAACGCGACGACCGCTCACCAGATCAACGATAAGACTGTGGCCGAGAAGCTGGAGCTGGCGAAGCGCATGGCCTCTAAGATCAGCGTCAATATCGCGGGAAAGGCGTCGTCGACGACGGAGGCCTTCCTGAAGGGCGAGACCTTCTCGATGGGCGCGTCGAACGCCTTCACCGCCAAATCAAAGGCAGAACAAGTGGCCGAACGATTGCACGCGAAACTCAATTACGTGCCCAAAGACGTCGAGTACAACGAAGACGGAGATATCGTCCGCAAAGTGGATGAGGAGGACATGAATTCGGGCGCAAACATAGGCCAGCGGTTCGAGGAGGAGCTGGAGATCAATGAGTTCCCACAACAGGCGCGTTGGAAAGTCACCTCAAAGGAGGCGTTGGCGCAGATCAGCGAGTACTCCGAGGCGGGCATTACAGTGAGGGGTACGTACTTCCCGTCCGGAAAGGAGCCACAGCTCGGCGAACGGAAACTCTATTTGGCTATTGAGGGCACCACTGAACTGTCCGTTTCCAAGGCTAGGGCTGAGATCATCCGACTTATTAAGGAGGAGATGATTATTTACCATTCGGAAAACTCCACATCACTGTAAACGCCACTGAAATTAACATAAGAGTAAACAAAGTCGTTTTGAGTATGTGAGGGTAGTTATCCCCAGCCATATTTCACCAGATTGGGATACCTGTGCGTTTTACAGAATCTTGTAAATATCATTAATTTGCCACAAATTGTCATTTTTGCGATAATTCTTAAGTGTTTGACTAAATCTATAAACAATAAAAAGTTTATTTATAATTATGACTGTATTTGTAATTCTTTCAATTAATAAATTAAATCAATTTTTGAAAATATAGATATTGCATAAGTATTTATAATACAGCACCGGTATTTATAATGGCATATTCTTTAATAATGTTTTTTTTAATTTAATTCAAATTTGAGTTAGTTAATTTCATAGAGGTTTTATTGTGGGTCCACTTGTGCCTGATGACTTTTCACTTGACATTGCCATTAATGGTTTAATTGTAGGTTTCAATTCTTTTGGTGTGAAGTATATTAGTCTTGTGAGCATTGAAGTGATGCACTAAAATACACGTTATTTTATATTAGTCTTAACTGTAGCTAGGTCACATTTACGGTCATTTATGGCAATTGTTAGATTTACCGGAATCTGTTTCTTCTTATGGTAATCACTTTTGTTGGGAGCGTTAGATTGGAAACCATAGGCCACTTGTAAGTTCACAAAAGTGAGCAATGTCATCAAATCAATATTCGTATTGTTATAACAGTATTCATTCAATACTGAGGCCAACGCTTGAATGAAATAAGAGCCGTATTGAGTGTTACGGAATGCATAGTGACCTGAATTGTGGGATCAGTTGGTTAATAGTATGTGCACTCAATTCACACACTGTATTGTGATAATTATTACCCGGAGCAGTGCAATAGTAAATTATAAAATCAGCTATTGATGGGATCCTATAGACAGGCCCTGAATTGTCGGCCACATCCGGGCCCAGGGCTTTCAATTTGACGCCCGAATCTGGTTTGCGACAGGCCTTCGGAGAGGCCGACAGGTTTCCGCGACAGGCCTTCAGAAGACCAACAGATTCATTGAATCTCAATTACTTACGTTAGTAACTCACATATAATTGGACTTACTACTTATAGAAACCAAACGGTTAGTCACAGCCTGTGGCCAGAGGCAACTTTATTCGCCACTCACACAGCTAGCCTATGAACGATAAGGCCCCCCATAGGTATTGCTCGTCGCCATGGCTTAGCACCACAACTGCCACACAGTCGTTGTCCGTGTGATCATCAGTGGACACTGAGATTGAAATTACAATCAAATTTTTAATTCAATAAATAGGAGTTTCTTAAATAAAAAAATTGCATTTCGAGTACAGAATCCCAATTGTGACGAACCTTTAGACATGGCGTGTCTTATATCGGCATAAGAGGCGTCCGTCTTTAGCTCGACATCAAACTCGAGTCTTTGAAATGAGGCCACAATAGCCTCGGCATCTCTGGCAGTGCCCCGACGGGGATTACGTCCGGTGTGGGGGTCGAAGAACTCGTGGTTAAACACAAGACATTTACCTCTCTTTCTGTGTTTCATATCATAGGTCAGGCTAGCTAGCGGTACAGTCAATACACCCATCGATTCATTGCCCCGGATCTCACTTATAAATTAAACACATAATTGATTTGTTCAGTAGATTATTAACTTTTATATTTAAATTTATAACATGCAATATACTTGCTAAATATACTATGCTAAATATACTTGCTAAATATACTTGCTAAATATACCATGCTAAATAATCTTATATTTTATTAGAATATTTAATTCGTTTTCTTATTAATTTTATGTAAATTGTTTTACTACACTATGTCTATAATGTATGGAAATTATACCATTAAACTGTATAATAGTGAAAGTGATTTGAATATTGAATACCATTGAGAAATACAATTCTTGTCATTTTCTTGAAATACACTGATTTAAGAAAAATATTTTAATTAGCAGTCCTTACCTGACATTAAAACCTTTGGCATCTACTCGATCCATTATTGAACAGATTAGTATTTTAAGCCTATATACAAATCAATGAATATTTAAAAATATATTAAAGACTTTCATAAATTATACTTGATACAATTATATCGAAGTGACTTGTTTAGTATGAATGTTGTATTACTAGTATGATGACTAACTACAGGTAGCATTATTTCATTGGCAATGCTAATGTCAACGCCAACTGACATACTCTTGTTATCTTTATAATAGATTAAATGATTGCTAAAAATAATTATGAAATCATATGAAAATTACGATTAATAATTAGTAATTCTAGTATAAAATACTGTATTTTTAGATTAATTTGAATAATTTAAGTTACTGTATTTTATCACATATTTTAAGTCCAAAAAATCTATACTGAATTCATTTTTTAAAATACAGTGTATTTAATAATTAAAACTAAACATTAAACAAGTTTTATTACGAGTGAATGAGTAATTTTATGTGATTGAGTTCATACACACAACATTAATAGACTTTGTACAGGGTAATACAAGTTTGAATAAGATTTGACTAAATCTATAAACAATAAAAAGTTTATTTATAATTATGACTGTATTTGTAATTCTTTCAATTAATAAATTAAATCAATTTTTGAAAATATAGATATTGCATAAGTATTTATAATATAGCACCGGTATTTATAATGGCATATTCTTTAATAATGTTTTTTTAATTTAATTCAAATTTGAGTTGGTTAATTTCATAGAGGTTTTATTGTGGGTCCACTTGTGCCTGATGACTTTTCACTTGACATTGCCATTAATGGTTTAATTGTAGGTTTCAATTCTTTTGGTGTGAAGTATATTAGTCTTGTGAGCATTGAAGTGATGCACTAAATACACGTTATTTTATATTAGTCTTAACTGTAGCTAGATCACATTTATAGTCATTTATGGCAATAATTGTTAGATTTACCGGAATCTGTTTCTTCTTATGGTAAACACTTTGGTCGGGAGCGTTAGATTGGAAACCATAGGCCACTTGTAAGTTGACAAAAGTGAGCAATGTCATCAAATCCATATTCACATTGTTATAACAGTATTCATTCAATACTGAGGCCAATGATTGAATGAAATAAGAGCCGATTTCTACGTTACGGAATGCATAGTGACCTGAATTGTGGGATAAGTTGGTTAATAGTATGTGCACTCAATTCACACACTGTATTGTCATCATTATTACCCGGAGCAGTGCAATAGTAAATTATAAAATCAGCTATTGATGGGATTCTATAGGCAGGCCCTGAATTGTCGGCCACGTCCGGGCCCAGGGCTTTCAATTTGACCCCCGAATCTGGTTTCTCTCCGCGACAGGCCTTCAAAACACCAACAAATTCATTGAATCTCAAAATGAATGCAATCATTGAGTGTATATTAACCTGAATGATGAATATCTTTGGTTTGCCAATCAGTGTCGGACACCGGTCTCCGTTGAAATAAGCGGTGAGTGTGTCGATCGGATACTTGCTATTCCGGG